TCCTGGTTGCCTTATTGAATGCCAGGGTACACACTGCTCCCGTTGCCAGTGGTGTACACTGGGGCATCACTCTCCCTCGGATTTCAGTCCTCGCAGCTGTCGCCCTTAGTTCTCAGTTCCAGGTGAGCTGTGAGATCCTGTAAGGACTTGGTCAGACAGATCTGGATCTTAATGGGTCTAGGTTTTTTTTTTAATATTTTCCCCAACCCTTTTAAACTATGCTAATTGTGCTAAATTCATTAGACTCTTGTGGAGAACAAAGTTAAAAACTTGGCTGTTATGTGTAAGACTAAATTGAGAACATGGAGCTCTGTTTAGGATTTCATGCTGGCCAGTAGGTCAGGAAGATTTTCCTTGGGGGCAATTTACATAAGGAATTGTTTATCCCTTTTGTTTCCAATTGCTCTGACCATTTGGGAATAGCAGACACTTTCCGTAATGGCACAGAAATCTGTCCAGTGAGATTGGAACTTAGAGCAACAAGGCTTCTCCTGGGCTGATGGATCTGGGGCCCTGCTCAGGAAAGATCCTGTGGCATGGGCTGCCATGTCACTGGGAAATTGTTCTTCCACTGCAGCTGTGTTCAATTTGGATGGGTTCAAAAGCTGACTTACTACTATGCTCAGTGAGAGTTTTCCCTTTATATTGATGAACAAGCATCAAGCCTATCCTGAAGTCTCAGCAATGACTCAGATGCTGACTGTGACCCTATAGCTCATCAGATCATACCCACACTCAGAGCACACATTCTCTGGCCTCCGCTATGCAGAGTATTAAGTGCAAGTTGTTGACTTGGGCATTCTGGTCCAAAAGTAATACCCAGCTTACTTGTATTTTTGTCTCATTAAATGCTCCTTCAAAACTGTAATATTTACCCTTCTTAGATAAGCAGCCTCTACTTTTCTTAAGTGTATTTTCTCCAGTTTATCATAAGTTTATTCTCTTAATAATATTTTTTTCTTGAGTAGAAATATCAGGTACCTCTCAGTGATGTGCTGGTATATCTTGGTCAGCTAGCTCTCTGAGTGGACAGCTGAGTGGATGGGAAGCCTGACTTGGTGGTTTCAGTGCTGTAAATCCAAGAGGACTGATTTCAAGCTACCAAGATAAGGCCACTGGATGAAGAATTGGGAGAATATAAATAATAGCATACCATTTCAGAGAACTTCCAACATACTGACATAATAAATATGAATAACTTCAAGGGGTTAGATAATAGTATAATGGGTAGGATGTAATGAGTTTGGAGTGTTCATTACCATTGTTTTAATTGTAATTAATTTTTTTATGTGGCTTAATTTTTAGTAATGGCCGTATTTGATAGTTGGCTCACAGAATTCCTGAAAATTGCATAATTGGTTGTTTCTCCTAGGCAGGCAAGAGCATGCAGAGTCAGTTCCAACTCACCATTCTTTCTTCCTGGACCTCATTCTAACAGCCCTCAACACTCAGTAGTAGGTAGGCCCAGAAGGCCTCTATGCAGACGGTGGGGTGAGATGCCAAAGCTTGAATTCTGGTCTCTCATTTACTAGGTTATGGTCAGCTCACTACTTAGTTTGCAAGTCCCAGTGTGAAATGAAAATGTGAGTCCTTATTAAAAGGCAGGAAGGAGGTGCTATTAAAAGTAGCTACTAAAATGTAAAGCTTTTTTCTTTTCTCACTGGTCTTTCTTTCACACCTAGCGTCTTCCAGTGGTGCTCCTTGTTTTTGATGTAATGTCATTCTAAGTGAGAAAAAATTAAAACTTGAAATTGCCAGCATGAATTTGATCACTGTGCGTTGCTGGTTTTCAATGCAAATAGAAGAATTTCTAACTCATGAGCTAATGAGCATTTTCGTCTGTACATGTGCATGCTCCATTACCCACTTTCACTTCACTTACAAACTCAAGTTTAAAAATAAAATGATTTTAAAAAGAAAAAAAAAGTCCAGAGAGACACAGGGCATTAGAGCAGTCAAGGAAAACACCTCTACCCGGACAGTTGGGAGCCTGTGCTCAGGATGGAGCCACTGTCTTACATTCACTTCGTCTCCGAGGCCTTGACTGTGAAATAGAGATCATGCCAAGTAAGTCACAGTGAAAATGTGAGGATTGAGGGCACAAATACCTGGATGGCATGGAGAGGTATGCTAGGTATGCAATCTGTGATCAATTAATTGGAGGGATTATTATTAATAGCACATAGGCACTTTGGTAGTGAGTGTGGTACAGTAACATTGTATGTCTAAAGCATAAATACTAAAGATTTTGGGAACCATGTTGGCTCTTTAAAAAAAAAAACCCTAGTCATGTTAATGGCCTCTCCTTTATGGTCCGTTGGGGTCTTTCCTGCATTGTCAAAATCCACCTCCTTGACCTGTTTTCCTTTCTCCATTCTGGGTTCTCTGAAGGTCAGGATTCAGTCTGTCCATTGAATTCCCTCTGCTGCTTCCTGCAAATTCTTGCACATACCTAGCACCACAGTAGGTGTTTATGACCTTGATCTTTGTGAGTACTGGACTTTCTGACAATAACCATCTGTGTTCTAATATGATTGTCCCCACAGCGAGGCTTAATTGGGACCATTCACAGGAAGAAAAAGAATATAAATGTAGACTTTACAGGAGTCAGTTGTAATCGTGATGGGGTGGGGGAGCGGATGAGTCCAGGTGGTTTGCTTTAAGTAAAGTGGCCTCTCTCTGTCTCTTTGAGGATGCTTCAGAAGTAACGGGAAGGGGATGAGTTCCAACCCTCATTTGATTGAAAGAGGCCCCAGGGATATTAACTCAGGCCCATAGTAATCTATTCCTTTGCTAACTTCTTTCACACTTACTTTCTGTTCTACACAATTAGGGCATTATTGAAGTAATGTTTCTTTCCACTAATTTGTTGTGCATGTGTGTTTCTTGTCCACCAAATTATAAGCTCCTCATGGTTATTTGATGTCACTTACTTCTCTGGACCATAAGTGACACATGGTATGAGACACATGATAAACAATGCACTTTCTCGATTCCAGTCTTTGGTCCAAGCTCCCGGAGCTCCGTGACCAGCTGGATTCTGGTTCCCTCTTAGTAACTCCTGCAAGCCCTCTCACCAAGCAGCTGAGATTCCTTTTTTGGTGCTGCCAACCAAGGAACTTCTGCTGTTTTCTCTTTCCCTAACATACATTTCTCATCCCATCATTTCCAGACACTCCAGGACTGAGTCCCTGTATAGTCCCTCTCCTTGTGTGGAATTTGAGACCATGTATCTGGATACTCCTTGTCTGAGTGAAGATTCACTGTATCACTGTATCACTGTCATCCTGTAAGTCATCAATTGCCTCGAACAGGCCCCAGTAACGTCTCCTTCGTCCTAGCCCTGATATTTTAAAAAGTTCTACATTCAAGGCTCTTTCAGGGTTAGGAGAATGAGACCCATCATTGTTACTGCTTTTTGGCATATTGATTACGCCACGGGGAGTTTGCCATACTGCCGTGTGGGCAGGATACTTTTGGTAGCCTGCCAAGTTCTCCATAGTAAGACCTATAATAAGACGCCACGCGGCTGGAAATGCGGCCACGCACTTCTGGGAGCAGGGTTTTATAGCCTCTGGGTCTTGGCCGTTGATGGGATTACATGGCACCAGCGGCAGTTGGCAGTTGGTGGGTGTATTGCCTGGAAGATGGGGGATCTGGGTGGAGGAGGCCCCAGTTCCAATCCGAGCAGGTTTGAAGGTCTACACCCCAGATCCTGCACACCTGGGTTCCTCTGCCGGTTCTTTCATGTATGAGGCTTGTCCAAACGTGTGGAGAGTGCTCTTAAGCATGGCTATGGCTGGAACTGAAGGTCTTCAGCTGCCGGGGCTCTGCTCGGGGTGGGGAGGGAAACTCAACCCACCCTCCTCCAAGGGGCCCCGGTGAGGACAGCCAGGCGTGGAGGCAGGACATTCTATTCTGTTCTCTTCTGGGAGCAGGGTTTTATAGTATCTGGGTCTTGGTCGTTGATGGGATTACACGGCCGGTGCCGGGATGAAGATTATTTATTTATTTATTTATTTATTGAGCAAGCCATTTGGGCTGGTGTCATTAGGACACTAAATTCATCACAGTGAATTATCTGCAGGAACTGCTGACTCTTATCTGAGTTCTAGGGCCCCAAGCTGACCATGACCAGCAGGACAACTCTCACGCTGCCTGGCCTTTGCTGTTCCTTTCTGGGGAACTATCAGACAAGTGGAGCCTCTGGGCCAGTCAGTTTGTTACTTTTAATGAGCACAAACTTGGCCAAGATATTGAAATAAAATAAAACACCAATGGTCAGTCTTGGATGTTCCATTCAATTGTTGCTTTAGCTTCCCCCCTCCCCCCTGCCAAAGTTATTCAAGAGAATGGAAAATAAAAAGTTCGCCACACTCCTGCCAGTTTTACCTTAAATGGATTTGCAAAGTTAAAAGGACCTGAGCTTTTTTCCCTTCTTCCTTCAGATTCCTATGGACTGATGCCTATCTTCAAGTCCAGTTATTTCACTGACCCAATGTTTGAGTGTTACCTGTGGAATATTAGTGAATGGTATCCATACCTCTGCCATATCACATGCAAATAGTCATAAACAAAGAAAGACAGTATTTTTCTGAAAAGGGTGTAACAAAGTTATTATTTTTACTTTCATGCCCAATGCACTTATTTTGTTAAGAATTTTGTAAGACTGTAATAATTGTTAGAGGTCACTTGGATCATCATATGTTTAGACGGTCACTCCAGGATGAAGTAGACACAGAACAATGTCCCTATTAAGTTGATCTTTGTGGCTATTTTCATCTTCTGGCCATATGGAATTGGAATTATTTGGGGCCTTTTTTTAAATAAGGAAGTGAACAGATGAATGATAACTCTTTGATTACTCAGCATAGCCTGTGTTTGTGGAAGACAAAGTCCATCAAGTTATTTCAAAGAAAAACAAGAGCGTGCCAAATGTAATTTGTTGAGGGCTCGAGAATTGTGAAATTATCCCTAACCGAAGTTTGTCATTTCTGCAGGTAATTGCTCTAGCAGATGCCGTCGAGGAGAACCAAGAAAATCTGTTGCAGTCATTCAGCTGCTTGAAGAGTGCCACCCATTTGATGGTCCTGCTCATCGGGCTGTGGCAGAAGCTCAGTGCCGACCAGGTTGCTATTCTGGAGGCAGCATTGCTACCCTTGCAGCAGGACTCCCAAGAGCTGGTAAGACCCCACCAGCCTGCTGTGGTTGGTGATGTGCCAGTGCTGTGGAAAAAGATGGTGGTGTTAGGGAGATAAAAACTTGCTATCGTGGGGCTAGAGCGATAGCACAGCAGGGAGGCTGTTTGCTTTGCATGTGGCCAACCCAGGTTCGAGTCCCAGCATCCCATATGGTCCCCTGAGCACTGCCAGGAGTAATTCCTCAGTACAGAGCCAGGAGTTGCCCCTGTGCTTTGCCAGTTGTGACCCAAAAAGAAAAAAAAATACTTGGTATCGTTGTTTCTGAGGCATAAAGAGAGGGTGGTTTTGGTTGCTTAAAAAAAAACACACACACACACACCTTGTTTTCATTTCTTTAAACTACTATAAAGTTGTCCAATAAAGTCTTATTTTTAGAGGTATTTTAAAAATAGGTACATAGTCCATGATCTCTGTCTTTTTAATGGGCTCTCCAATCACATAGAAGCCAGGGAAATAGCCATTTGAAAGTCCAAATGATGGCTGTGTGCTTTCAGATTAGCAAATACTTACCTTTTCCACCAGAGAAAACAGCTTAGCCATTTTTATTTTCTCTGCATTCTTAAATTTAAGATTCACATCAAGAGTTATAGAGCCTGCTTTGCTATAGGATATTTTGGCTTATGTTTAGGATTTGATATATTTTGTTTATAAACTTTTCCTCTCAACCTTTTGAATGGGTAACTCAGAACAGAAAGAGAAAATGAGAATTGGTGATTGAGTTTTTAATTTAATTATTGAAATAAAAACATCTTAGATCCCTTAAATTGTAGAGGTGTATAAAATCTCCAAGTACCATTTTGAGGAACATTTTATGTTTTTATTTACATAGAAATAACATTCTTGGAAATTAGAGAAACTTGAACTTACTGTTTGTACAAGAAAAAAGTCAGCTCAAAATCATTTTTGAACATGGTACAAAAAGAATAGAACTAACAGTTTTGGTTAGTTTTAGTTCTAGGTGAGGTGCAAGGAACTATATGAAGCATTTCACCGGATTATCTGATTTAAACATAAAAATTACACTCTGCAGTCATTAAAACAAAGTTTCATCTTCATTTTGCATGTGGGAGAGAGATTCTGAGTAAAGTGCTTTTCTGGAAGCCATGTACTAGAGCCAGGTTTTGGATTCAGGTTTTTTAACTTCTAAGGTATGTGTTGTTCACCAATACAGTGTATTTCAGTAAATAAAATCTGGGACAGGATTAGATAAATTACAAGTTATGTCCATTAAGGGTTGGAGTGATAGCACAGCGGGTAGGGCATCTGCCTTGCATGCAGTTGACCTGGGTTCAATTCCTCTGCCCCTCTCAGAGAGCCCAGCAAACTACCGAGAGTATCTCGCTCGCACGACAAAGCCTGGCAAGCATGACATGACATATTCAATATGCCAAAAACAGTACCAACAAGTTTCACAATTTGTTGTGAGATGTTACTGGTGCCCACTCTAGCAAATCAATGAACAATGGGAGGATAGTGACAGTGACAGTCCATTAAATCTAATTTTCTACAGTTTAGTCAATGGATTTTCAATTTTGAAAAAAAAAAACAAATCATGTGCTCTCTCCTGAACAAGATTGTAACTAACAAATAGGCCCCCAAAAAAACTTTTTGTGGAGATGAGAGGAGTCCTCCCAAACAGTGCTTAGGAAATCCAGGGACCTCTGTGCAGTTCTCTTCTAAGTGAACTGTCAGAAGCAAAGTGGCAAGGATGTGAGGCTGCTTGGGCCATGCAGTGTTGAGGACGCCCGGGTCACACCTGTTGATACTGGAAGCCTCCGGGGCCACTTCTGGAGATCATGGGGTACTGAGTGTCAGACTGGGGCCCACTACATGTGAAGCAAGCACCTTAACCCCTGTGCTATCTTTATCTCTAAAGTATACATTTTTCTTTGGTTGAAAATGTATACAAAGTTGATCTTTCAAAAGCTTGAAATGGAGAGTTGTAAAGATAGTTCAGCAGGGATGCATGCTTTGCATTACAGGGTACCTGAGTTCAAACCTTGACATTGTGTGGGCCTGCAGCTGTAACTTTGAGGAAAGCTCCTGCACAAAGCAGAGAGTGTCACTGGACTCAGTACTGAACTGTCTGGCCCGGTGAGCCAAGTATCACTGATCGTGGCTCCAGACCATGGAGCTCTGCTTGAGCCCCCAGACCCCAAAAGAAAAAACAAAAATACAAGAAAAACCAAAAGCTCAAACAAAACAGAGCCACTGTATTAATAGAAAATGATATCATTAAAGAATGATGGCGATCATTTCAATTCTTTGGAACTAAGATTCAGTACTGAAAGAGTGTGAGAAGCTTGAGAGAGAGGTCCAGGGCTAAGGTGCTTGTATTGCATACAGTTCTACCTGTCTTATTTCATTAATGACTTAAATAGACATAATGAATAGACATACCTTCTAATTGCATCAAATTCAGAATACAGACGAAAACATTTGCCCCTGTGCATTTTGAGTTCCACCCCTGGCACCACATATGGTCTTCCAAGTCCAACTAGGAGGGATTCTTGAGTGCAGAGCCAGGAGTAAGTCTTGAGCACCTCAGGGTGTGACCCCCAAACTAGCAACGACAACTAAATAGCTTAGAATATCTCTAGCTTATTGTATTATTTGTCATCGGTTGGTTCCACCATTAATGACAAAGTCCCTTTGGTGATTTTTTTAACTCTTCTTAAAATCTACTCATATATGTAAAATGGAAATAATCAGACCAACTCAGTAAGTTGTAATAAGGATGAGATAAGATAACAGAGAACTGAAGGTTAGTAATCATTATTTGAAGTGTACCTTTTAAGTTATTTATGGTCCTGACTAAAATCACACCAGGTGATTTTTGACCAGAGTAATTTAGTTTTCAATGCAGAATTAAAAATACCCCATACTCACCTTGCATATGCTTAATTTCTATGGGAAATAAGTGTTATTCATAGTGTTACTCTGTCTCCTCCGCTGCACTTGAAGGTAGGGATTACATCTTCCTCATTCTCAGAAACGGGCAGGAGCCTGGCCATAGTTTATCAGTGTTTGTTCAGTGAATGAACAGTAAAAGAATGCAAGAGGAGGTGACTTGGCAGAATGGGGTAGTCGATATCTGGAATATAAAGAAGCAGGGCATGGCCAGCCATCTCTTATATAGGGCCCACTGCAAAATAAAAATGCAGGTACCTTGTTCCAAAAAAGTAGTGCCAACATACTATTAAAGCAATCACCCAAAATAAAACCTTTTATTTTGTTTTCTATATTGTTACATAGAAAAATCAAAAATGTCTAGTTGTTAACATGGATTTTACTATTCATCCTTACAATTTGTTAACCTAGCCTTAATATAAATTTGAACATTAACTCATATGTGGAATCACCAAAATGATGCCTTTTGTGACTGACAGCTTATGCATATCTTTGTGTTCCTTTCTCAAGAAAGAACTGTGGACTGGCTTCAGAGGACTTAACTCTCTTTATTTCATTTCTTGATAATGTAAACACCTCCCAACACTCTCTAGCTTTGGCTCACTGATCAGGAAAGAAGAATGGAAAAGAGAAAGAGCTCTGTGTCTCTCTTGTCTTTCCTTTTCCTTCTCTATTTTCAGCAGAAGTAGTTGAGCAAGGTGGGGAAAGAACAGGAGTAAGAAGGTCCTGGTGGACTTCCTTATTCATGTTTTTTTGAGTCTACAAATCTCTCTTCACTCAGAACAAATGCTGGTTTAAATGGAAAGCCACTTTGGGCTGTCAGTGCCAGTGAGTCAGTCTAAGTATAAAATTTCTTCTCTGTGGTTGAGTCTGAGCTCCTGGAACATGGGCTTCCTGAGCTTGTGGAGTTGCGGTGCATGGGGCAGAAAGGAGGGAAGCTACATTGTTCCTTCTTACAAGCACTCTTTTCTTTTCTGGGGGCCTTCATCTACAGGAAGTAAATGCAAAGGTATGGTTACCAAGCAACTAAAATGGCCAGAACAAACCTGCAGAGCAAAGGCAGGTCCCTGTTCGACCACATGCCTTTTGGTCTCCTCAAGCTGTCTCTGAGCATGGTCAGACCCAAAGGAAGATACTTCTTAGAAGTGGAGATTCTCCAGGATAGCATCTGAGTTCTGGCGAGATCATGATATTTCAACTTGGGATATTAAGAAGCAGCTGATTTTGCTGGAAATATATAAGTATGTTCATTCATATGGGCAGGCCGATGGACCTTAACATCTCAAAAGTCCCTTTCTAGTCTTCCTCAGCTTTCTTTGTCATCATACCTCCCAAAACACCTCCCAAAATTCTTTTGGCTCTCTTAATGTGGTGTGATTAGAAGGTGTGTGTACTTGTGTCTACTGAAGTCATTAATGAAACAAGACATTTGACAAAAACATAACTTGGAGAAGAATGAATAAATAAAGACATTTTAATACAGCATGTTATGCTCTTCATCTTTAATTAGGTTGTGGTATTCACTTTGGACTTATGCTGTTGAGACAGCTTATGTATCTTGAGAAGAAAGGAATCCTTTTTCATTCTTTAAGACGTACGCATGCAGTATGTGGTTTTGACATGCTAGTTCACAATCCCCCACATTATGCTTTAGACCTCACAAATAAATGTTATGTGATGGGTATCCCACTGAGATGTGAAAATGAAATACGCGAACCTGAAATAACTTGGAAGGAGGGTGAGGCCGGGAAGAAAAGAGTCTCTGACCAGAGCATAGAAAATACATCCCATATTGAAGTTATTATAATACCACAAAAATCTGAATGTAATTTAAATGGTTTGGTTAAGGGTGGATGGTAAAGTACATGTGTGAGGGGGAGAACTTTAGACATGTGGACAATATTTTCAGAGGAGAATCTCAATGCAAGGTCAGATGTTCCCACAAGTATCAGAGATAGTGAGTTTTTATGCAGATTTTTACTTACATTGCAAACGGCCATGCATCATGGTTGATTAGATTGTTAGTGTGCATGTGTCAAAGGCATGCTGAATGCCATTTTCAGTGCTAGAAT